GGAAAGAAAAAACGCAAAGCCAAAGCAATAACAAAGAAGAAAAATGAATACAAAAAAGGCATTGGAAGAATGCTGCTGCTGTTTCAGCTCATTTGCATGAGGTGAAGGACAGTCTCATGATCGGAGGCCGGAAAACAACGCGGTAAAGACTGCATCCACGGTTTCGGGATATTCCAGCAGCGCATGCCGGTTCACTGGATGGAAAAGCAAAAATAAAAAAATCTACAGGGATGCGGTGGGACGGCGCGAAAACAACGATCTCGACTGAATCAAAAACGAAAACAACCGAAACAAACACTTAGACTATCAGATTGTATAGAAATACAGAAAAAACATGAGATCAAGAGATAGACATTAGCGTTGCGGCAAACTAAATGCGATCATATCCGCTTGCCCTTTCAGAGTTAATATATAAAACAAATAAATTACAATAATTGTTTCCCTCTACAAATTTTCACCCTCAAAATCCACATCACCCCTAACAGAAAACAATTCCCCTCCGACACTCTTGTTCCCCAGAGCCGCGCCCGTGGGAGAGCCCACTGCCCATTACGCGTGTCGTTTGGAAGTTCTTTTGCCGTTGGGGGCTGCGAGGTGCATGTCCGTTTCTTTTCTTTTTTTTCCTTTTTAAACCCTCGGACATTGCAGCATTTACCCTCCGGCACCTCCCATTATCAGGGATATCCCGTGAGATTTTCCATTTGCGCACTACAACATACTGGATCAAGATTGCGTAAACGAGATGCTGCGAACGCGAAATGCTGCAATCGGGCACCCCTTTGGGTGAGGAACAATGCCCCTGTTACCATTCATCTCGCAAAATTCCCGCGGCAATGGGAGCGAGATTCATTTCCAAACAGTTACCCCTTACCGCAAATGAAGAGTGTAACCCAAGGGGGTGGGTTTAGAGGGCAGCGCCAACGTCTGGGTGAGACCCCAAGTGTGTAACGGACGCGGCTGCGCAAATAAATTCTCCTCTTTTATGTTTTATTTTATCGGAAACAAATGGGCGCCAGAGACCCCCACTTTAAATTCCGAACCTGGACACAGTGCCTTCTTCAAGTAGGGAAAAGAACGGGATGAGGCGCGACAGAATGTTGATAGAGAATTGTTTGGACCGCTTGAACGGGGTCGTTTTTTTTTCTTTTTTTTCTGCGCGCGTGGACCGTATTGCGAAATGCATTTCCAATAATGCAGGAATACTTCTCACTCCATGCAAAGTTATAACTTGAACAAGGCAGTGCCTGACAGAGAGTGTGGGTACGTATACGTGGTCAAAAGCATACCGTCAGAGTCAAGAAAATTCCAATGATTTACTCGCACATTAAAATCCATATCAATGACGATGAGTGTAGATCACTAGAAAGGGTATCCTATCCAATATTCTCCAATCATCCAACATTTGTTTGAATAACCAATAATAATAATAAAAAAAACGAGCTCTGCATCAGCAGAAACCATGGGAAGAAATAACCATAAAAATAATATTGGTCACAAACTATTTTCGCAATGTTACAGTATTATTTCTTTCATTTTCCCTCTTAACCCTGTATCAAATCTCTTCCTTGATGTTTGCGTTGTTTTTCTGCATTATTAATGTTTGGAATTCGCATGCAGAAGCACACTGAGAATTCTTTGCAATATGAGGTCTGTCCACTCACTTTATTTCACTTCCCTCTTCGCCCCAGCACCGTAGCGCAGACTCCTATTAAGTCTTTTCCGCAACGCTGGTAAATTAACGTGGGGAGTTCACGATTTCATCGACCCTAGGAAAAATATATACAGTTGGGAGTAAATACCCACACACAATTCCGGAGAATGCCGCAGCGTCGTAGAAAGAGAATGGCAATTTCACCAGCCCCCATGCAAACACCAGAATTGCAATACCTTTTCTGCGACAACTTGTGGGCGAGAGAAAAAAGAATAGAGAAACGAAAAAAAAAAAGAATAAAGGCAACAACAAACAAAACACTCTTAGAGTAAGAAATAATGGCAATATTTGTAAGAAAGAAAAAAAAAAGGAGAAACAACTATTTTTGACTTTGTCTGGGTAAACCCTGTATTCCCCGTTTTCACAAATACATCCCAATAATTTTTCCCGTTGTTTTTTACCAAGTAAATAACAGAACTGACGAAACGTAAGTGCTGAGAAGTCCTTTTAACCCGCCTTTCGTTCGAGACAGTGTGGGTTCGGTTGGGTGGGTCTTTAAAAACCTACATTTGCAGACTGTAAATATGAACAAAAATAAATATGAAAGACATTTATTGCCAGTATTAAAATTATTTGCATAATAAATAATAAGATTCTACCATTATTTTCACAAGATATCAGGAAAAAAAAAAAATAATGCGTTTTATCAATTAAATTCATTTTCTACTTTTTTCTTCCGCAGTCTCTCCATTAAAAAATCTGCTAAATACCGCTTGCTTTAATTCATCAAATAAACATAAAAAAAAAGTAAAAAAAGAAATATATACGTTCACTATCTCTACTAAGGAAAAAGAAAAAAGGAATATATTTTGATGACGGTATCCACCTCAACGTACCTAGAAATGTTTTTCCCAAGCCTTTACGAAAAACAAGAAACAGAGAGGGTGCACTCACCCACACACCTTTTTTTTTTTCTTTGGCACGTGCACAATGTCCATATTTTCTGTTCGCTCGTACATCAATTAAAAGATAAAAATAAATAAAGTGCATGTGTTTTCTTTTCGTCTCTACGGTTATATTTTTATTTCATTTATTTTTCTTTTTCATTTATAATTCAAAAAAGAAGCAGCGGTAATACGGTGTGAAGAGTAACTACCAAAAGCATTACTTTAATAAGGTGTGATCCTGCTGTATGCCACGCTGCATCCGATTCATGTACAGTATCCATCTCGTAGAAAGAGACTCTGGCCGAGAGTGGTGAGTTTATATTGTGGGAGAAGAGGGCAACTCCAGAATAGTCATTGGGAACGTAAACACGACCCGTCAGCGACTCCAGGCCGCCGTCCTTGAAGACCTGAACGATGGTGTCATCCACAAATACTCGCAGCTGTACCCTTGTGCCATCTCCAACGAGTGGAGCTCGGCCGACCCAGGTTTCGTGGAATCCAGTCGTGCCGGATTTGCTTCGGTCCAGAAGAAGAATGGGTTCCCACACACGACCTGTTGTGGCAGAGTTATTAGCGGCAACAACGTCACCATAGGTACTCATAAGTGTACACCTCCACACAGCCGGGTCTTCTGCTGTATCTACCACCGTCCATGCGACACAACGACGATCGCGATTGCACTCATCAGCGCACGCCGCTTTTTCTCCATACCCGTACACGGCCAACACCTTTCCTTTTTGATCAAACCCCACCCCCATATTTGCAGTCGGAGGCATCGTCACAGCGAATCGAGTGTATGTGTTGCTATCCCTGTAGCGTACGAGTACACCAAAGGATGGGACGGTGTCTGTGTTCTCCGCTGGGTTGTTAGTGAATCCCTCAGGTATTACAAAATCCACCACCATTTCATAGTGCAGCGGGGCACTGGCGTTATACACTTTTACCTCGTTCACCCCGATTTCAACATCACTCGTTGTAGTATAGAGACGCAACTTGGCGAGCTCCGGCATGGGGTAGGTTTTTAACTTTTGGGCAGTAGCATCGTACTCGACGTTACGAGGCATGTCTATTGCACCAGACCACCCACGAGTCTTCATTGCAGCTTCCGTGTCCTCTTCAGGGATCCAACCCCACAAAATAATGCGATTGAGAATGGGATCATAATTCTGCTTGGATGCATACCATCTGCCGTAGTCGACGTATGTCCGGCCGCGAGCAAAGTCCTCGAGGTAGATCGTTTTATTATCAGGATTCTTCATATAGTAACCATACACCCAGTAGTCCTGACCACTGATCATTGTTGACACCTTCAAATAGTATTCATCTCCCAGTTTGAAAAAGTCTGGACATTCAAGCATGCTATCAAATTCGAATGAATTTTCCCAAATGGCATGTGAGAATCGGAAGTCTGAACGAAAATTGGGATCACTGGTAGCGAAAACAACAACCTGCGCTTCAGGTACACCAGCTGAATTATTAACACTGGCTACAAAAGCTACCAGCCACTCTGATGTGTTATCAGGGTTCACCCAGAAGTTCGTGGGGTCACGAAAGTGGTTCAGACCAATAAGGCCAGGTACATCATTCTCTGTCAATACAGGATTTGTGGGAAGCTTAACAAACGAGTTGAGCGAACGTTTGCCACCAGATTGAACATCTTCCTTGGGTGGCAAAGCAATGCATTGTCGCTGCACGTCACCATCTGCAGCACACGTATACATTACAACAGGTGACCCATAATCGCCATCCGTGATGGATCCACTGTACGCACCTCCGCGATCGTATTCATTATCATTCTTTAGTGCAATGCCTTGATCCTGCCACTTCACATAATCCATCGAGGTGAAGTGGTACCAATTTATACTTCCCCACACCGAGTCGTGCGGATTGTACTGCATGTACAGGTGCATCTGTTTTGTGATGGGGTCACGGTAAGGCCCGTTGGGGTCGTTGATCCAATTGGTGGGTGGACGCACGTGGAAGCGTGGTTCATGCGACGCGGTAACCGCAATCGCTAGCAGAAACGTCATCATAACGATTGAAAGATGCAGAACCCCAACTGACATAGGTTGGAACACGTAAATATGATTTACGCGCATTCTTTGTAGCCTTTTCTCTTTTTAAGAATCTTTTGAAAAGTAATGAAATGAAGGAAAGAAAAAACGCCAAAGAGTTTCGGCATCAGACAAAAAAGGAAAAGACAAATATTTAACAATGTAGTATAAACAACAGTTCACTGTAGCTGCAAACGTACACCCCTTAATATTCTTGCCAGGATTATGTCCATATGTCTGCTGCTCTGATATTATTTGGTGGAATAGACTGATCTCCTGTTGATGAGTGTCTCTGTGGACCCACACGAAGTGGAGTAATGTTTTCATGTGTTTCAATGGTGTCATCTTCACTCAGTGTTAACATATCACTCGATTCCAATGCAGTTTGATGTGTGCGTCGGAAGGTAAAATTGTGAATAAGCATACGCACACTGGTGTGTACCACATCAGGGCTTAGCGTCACATAAGAAGAAACCAAGGAATACCCTATTGATTCTGTGTGCTCAATTAACTGCTGAGTCACAGAAGTTGTTAGAAGATCTGCTGTTCCGTTGGCCACCTTTGTTGTCACAAAGAAGGCTGCCCGCTCATTTGTCTGATAGCACTGCCAATAAGTGGAAGAAAGTTGTCTCTCGAGATCACGGCGAATGCGTTGTGTGAGCGAACGTAGTTGAAATCCGTCTGCACCATATGTAATGGTGAGTGCATGTCGTTTAACGCCTTGATCATGTTGCATATGATCACAAATCTGCACAATACATATATCAGGTAACTGTACGGAATGCAAGTTGGAAGCATCAGTTTGGTTTGACGCTGGAAATGCGTGCTCAAGGAGTCCCCAATCATTCAAAGAGTGAACAAGTTCTGCTCGTACCTGCTCATTGTCTCTCGGTAGACTTATCTGATTTGTTCGTAAAAAACTCAGTACACACTCAAACACCTGAGGAGTAACATCTAGGAAGAACTCCCGACTTCTGCGCCCAGAAGGAGGCAGCGGAAACATTTTTGCGAATGCCGTGTTAGGAAAGCGCTGAAGAGTAGAGAAAAATGTCTCGAACCTCTGCCCACCCGCATTGATAATTGCTCTGCTCTTCATACTTTACTTGTGTACCTTAAGAAATAAACAGGTGCAGAAAGTGAGAAAATAAAAAAAAAAGTGTAGTAAAACAGAAATCAGGTATTGGTATGTGATATGAATTCTCACCAAGAGCAGAGAAACAGAGACTCATACATTCATATATAAACACACACACACACACACACACACACACACACACACACATGGTGAGAGAGAAAGAAAGAAAGAAACGAGGATATCAAGCAGTCATCAAGTGTAACTCTTGTTGGGCATCAACGATGGTAAAATTCGAAAACCAGGTATGGCTCAGCAGCGAACGAGCTGTGGGCCGCAGCGCAGGGTCCCATTGAAGCATGGAGGTTATGAAGTTATGAAAATTATTGCTATAATGTGACAAAGACATAGGTTGCTGCTTCGTCTTCATTGCAAACTCCATCGCCGATAAAAATGACCAGAAATCATCATTGCTTGTTTTGCAAACTGGATGATCACCATTTATACATTGGTATAATGTTACCCCAAGAGCCCATATATCGCTGCTTGGACTGGAAGCCAGTTGCCGATCTTTCAAGACCTCAATGGCAGTATAAAAAATAGTACCAGAAAAGTACTCGACAGGCGCATACACAGACATCGCGCTAGACAAATCCCCAAGTTTTAATTCCCCTGATAATCGTAAAAGAATGTTCGAAGGACTTACATCCCCGTGCACCATGCAGAACCGGTCATGTAGATCTGCCAATGCGTGCAGTGTTAGAAATGCAACAGCTTTCATCTGTCTCTCCGTGAATCGATGATGATGTCGGTTGTCCTGGCGATGCAGGTCTTTGAGGGCATAGTCCATCAGCTCAGTCAGCAGCACAACAGTCTTATCACCATCAACAAAAGCATGGTAGTAGTGAAGAATAAAGTTTGAATGCAAACGCTTAATGGTTTGTATTGTCCTCACAACAGCTTGAGGATCTATACATTCTTCTTCTTTTAATCCAAGCCAGAGATCTTTTTCCTTCCAATATACCTTGTAGAAACAGCTGTGACTTCCACGGTGCACCAGTACGTGCTCGCTCCAATTCATATCAAATGGTGCAACTTGAGACAACTCTGGTGTGCCGTCTCTGTTTTTTTCATCCATTGCGGCAGAGGAACCACATCTTCAAATTCATACAATAATAGAACGAAATAAGAAAAAAAAAGTAAGAGTGTTCAGAACGGCCAATATTTTAGAAAAGAAAGATACAGAAGATACAGAAGAATAGTCACAAGAGGAGAAAGGAAACCAAAGAAAAAAAAAAAAAAAACAAGAGAAATCCGTGAAGAAGTGCAGACGAAAGAGTGCACACAAGAGTGTATAACGAAAATACTATAAGAAGCACTACTGTATCTCAGCATGCAGCACCCTGTACCTTCACTCTTTGTTCTTCTGATCTTCGCATAAATTTAGCAAGGGCATTCTCTGCTTCTTGTGTCAAACGCACTGCACCACGCGGTCCCAATAGGGACTCAAGATCTTCCTTCAGAAGGTCCTTCTTAGTGAAAAGCGCATCTGCAACTCGGTGCAGTGTCTCCTTATGATCTGCTATGAGCTTTTGTGTGAAGCAATACGCAGTATCAACTAGCCGCGCAGCTTCTTCCTCAGCTATTGTCTGGGTTTTCTCAGAGTGCTTCTGATACATACGTCCCTCGTCTAACCTCTGTGGCTCATATGCGAGAAGGCCAACATGCTGTGACATGCCAAAAGCAAGAAATTCACGTATGGCTGTTTTGGTTGCGCGTTGCAAATCATCCTGGGCACCAGTTGTAAGTTCAGAGTACCGTGTGGACTCTGCGAGTCGACCCCCTAACATTACACAGAGGTCCGTGAAAAGTGAGACATCAGTAGGCATGTCAAATACCTCTTTTCCGACTTGTTGAGTGAACCCAGCTGCTGGACCTCTTGGTGTAATTGAAACCTTGATAACGTCTGATTGCTGTGGCAGCAACCATGCAACTAATGTATGACCACTTTCATGAAGGGCAACACGGTGGGCTGCGGCCTCAGTCATTCGACTACGGTGCTTTTTGCCAACAAGAACGTCGTCAACTGCGGGAAGAAGTGTTCGTTCTGTTACCTCCATTTCCCCCTGTACAGCTGCTGCGAGAGCGGCCTCATTAACTATAGCCGATATTGTGGCTGGTGACACACCAGGTGTAAGGGTAGCTAGTCGCTGCGCTTTGTTTGTCGGGTTAGACGTGACAACGCGTCGCAAGTAGTGCTCGAATAGGTCTTCTCTTGCTTTTAGATCAGGCATTGGCACCTCAACTTTACGATCAAAACGCCCTTCACGCAAAAGTGCCTTATCAAGGTTTTCCGGGAAGTTTGTGGCGGCGAATACAACGACGGCCTCGTTTGCCTGTAGACCATCAAGCTCTGCGAGAAGCTGATTGACTGTGCGGTTCTCCTCGGAACTCAAACCCATTGTACCCTGACCATTACTGCGCGAACCGACCGCATCAATCTCGTCCACAAAAATCACCGACGGCGCCTCCTGTTTTGCAGCAGCAAACAGTTCACGCACCCGCTTCGGGCCTGAGCCAGCGTACACCTCAATGAAGTCTGCACCGCTACATGTGAAGAACGGTACACCTGCCTCTCCGGCAACCGCCTTCGCGAGCAGTGTTTTGCCGGTTCCAGGCTGACCAGTGAGAATACAACCCTTTGGCAGCCTGCCGCCCAGCCGCGTGAAACGTTCCGGTGTCTTGAGAAAGTTGACGTATTGCTGCACCTCCTCCAGTGCTTCTGGCACACCAATTACGTCCTTGAACTTTGTGTCCTTCACTTCTACACGAAAATTCTTTATACCCATCGGGTTCATCTGTTTCTGCATTGCCTCCATCAGGTTGGCCATGAAACCTGTTGGTTTCGCCCCAGGCACACCTGCAGCAGTGGCAGCACCCGCCCTTCGCCGCATGAAGAAAAAATAGACAGCAGCAAGAGGGAGAGCTGCAAAAAGAGCTCCACCAAACGCCTGTCCTACTGTGGGCTCTACATTCTTTGTTGGGCGTCGCTGTTGCGCGTCAAAAAAACCCCGATAGTATGAGGCCGAAAGTGGAGTGCTATCCTCTCTAGATAATGGGTCCATTCAAATATAGTTATCTCTCTCTCTCTTTCTGTAGATATAGAAAGATATATATAGATATATATGTCTCCAGCAAAAAAATATTAGAATCACCTACGTATGTATCGTTACCTGTAAAATTCTAAAAGATATTTTAATAATAATAATAATAATAATAATAATAATAATAATAATAATAATAATAATAATAATAATAATAATAAGAAGAAGAAGAAGAAAAAAAAAGGCAGAAATGAATTAACGAAAAAAAAAAAAAAAAAACAGCACACAAGAAGTATACATCTTTAGAAAAGATTTATTCCCAACGCATCCAGCACTCGGTGTATGAAAGGGAAGCAAATGAAAAAAAACAAGCTTGCGTCATTCGTACTGTGAGTTTTAGAAAAGGTAGCAATGGTATTGACAATGATCACAACAATCTTGCAATGACACACAACTGCACAATACCGCTTAGAAGTCGCAGCTCCTGTACGGGCTGATGTACCCTCCTTGGGAACAGCAGCAGCAGCAAACCCATCCCACATGGGTGTCGAGATGGCGCTGTGCCCCACCTGTGACAACGCCGTCTGTGATAACAGCATGTTGGGGAGAGCGAAAAGAGACGCACCCGATACTGAGCAGCAGAAAGAAACCTTGCGAGGTGACACTCGTAATGGAAACAACCGCAGCACACCGCAGCGAGAATCGTGATAGTTAACACATCACACTAACACAAAACCGATGTGATGTAAACATCAGTCAGTACACGAACATCAGCTACGGTAGGAAGAAAAAGAAAATAACATCACCAACCACAACCACAAAAAAAACGTAGGTTCATGCCAAAGAATAGGAAAGGAAACTGCTTCACCGTAGTTTCAATGATCGAAAGATATGAAACCGCTATTGGCGTAAATATGTCTTGAATACAATTTCTTTTTAAAAGTAAGAATCACATAAAAAGAAAAATAAAGTAGTTTTGGCTGGGGAAATAAAAAAAAAAAAAAAAAAAAACCTATTTCCCTATCACTCACGCATGCAAACAAATCGACCAATAAGCATAATACAGAGAAATAAAAACACGAACAAAAACGTATATATTGTACGGAATTGGAAATTTGCACGCACACAAAGAATGAAACCAAGGTCACATCAACGCTTGAAACTCCTCAAGTGAAGAGGATAAGTTTATTATTCTCTTTACGTCGATGAAGCAAGTCTCCAGAAGAGAGTTGAATAGCATGATGTTTTTCGATGAAGACTCCCAAGCCAGACGAAGTCTTCGCATACAGGCACAGTACACTTCGTTAAGCCGGCGCAGAGTCTCATCAATACTGCTGTGGTAAATCATCTTTGAAAGTGTTATCCTCGCCCGACAAAATGTGTAGTTCTCCGGTATCTTTGGTGCAAGACAGCTAACTCCATTATTCAAATGCAATAAAACAAGTAGACGCATCGTCACATTAATGCCTACAGCTGCAGTCAAGTAATTGGGAGTTTGAACAGAGGCAATCCATTCTTGTGGATGTGTCTCGACGAGATACACAAGTTGTACGAGCGAAAGCAGACCGGCGCCACGGAAGTCTGTCATGGGGTTTACCCCTTGGAAGCCGAGTTCTTTCCAACGCTCAGAAGACATGTCCTCATTAAGCGGCGGTGTGTCATGATGCATGCAGCGCCAGTGAGATGTCCAGAGGGTCGAAAGCAAATGAATATCTTCATTTGTGCCACTCCACGGTCTAACCCAACGCTCGTGCAGCGCCGAAAGCATCTGTAGTTCGTCTTTAGGCAAGCTTGGACACAGCCATGTTGTCATCCCGTTGGGTAGCGCGTCTAAAACTACTCCCACAAGACTCACTATTTCGTATTTCCAGCGACTGGGCGAGAATGCTTCTGCTACTGCAGCCAGCGGTGCCCATAGTTTACTACCCTTATCCCCCTTCTCATCATTAAAATCATTATTTTCAGAACGTAGAAGAGGTTCAATTGTTTCATCTCCAACTCGGCAACCCCTCTGTCGGAGTCGCATCGGCAAAATTTATTTGGAATAAGATTGTATCACCCTCTATCTATCTCCCTGTGTGTGTATAGATGTGCGAACAAAAAGAAAAAAAAAAGATGAAAGATAAATACTAGTGCGATTCACTACATATTTCACGAGGAAACATAGTTAGAAGAAGAAAATTGCATGGCAAAGAGTGGGACAATGTACTCATTATTAATTGGTTTGATTAGTTCAATTCTCTTACGCGTCACCGTTCCTTTCTTTTTTTTTTTCCCCTTACGCATTATTACCGTTCCTTTTCTCACAGACTACCAATGTTAGAGTCAACGCGCAAGCCAACACTCCTTTCTTATTTTACTTTCAGAATCATGACTACAGACGCTCCTCTGCGCGTTTATTTTGCGTCTCTTCAATATTCGTATATTGTAGGTGTCTTCATATGTAAGTAGATATTACAAGAGCAATGAGGTTGAGAAAAAAAAGACACGGATGACACCACAGCTCGCTTCTGTTATGCTCACAATATCCCTGGGATTTCAGCAGAAGCAGAAGCAGAAACACAAATGCATACAGTGATATAGAATGACTTAATGAATAAATGAGTGAAAAATACCTTATAATTTTGAAACAAACAAGTTTTTCTCGTACGAATGCAATGAATGCACCCCACCCTCTGACTGTGCAGTGGCGGTTCGGCGGTTAAACAAGACTTGGCCCTGGTACATCTTTTCCCGCACAGCGTCAAAGCTGATCTCACCAATATCCTGTGCTGACTGCTGCAGCCCCTTGTGAACGTACGCCAGAAGTTTCTTCACCGACCCCTTGTCAAGTACAGTGCCTGACACACCCTGTGCCACCTGCACAGATTCCTTCTCCGACAGATAGCGTTTTCCAGACTCCTTTCCCTGCGTCATGGCCTCAATGCTGCCCATACCGCGGAATGCCTTAAGGCGCAGACCGTCTTTGAAGAAATAGCTGCCAGGTGTCTCGGAGGTGCCCGCGAGCATCGAGCCAAGCATAACGGTATTTGCACCAATGGAAAGACCCTTACAGATATCGCCCACAGTTCGAAGACCGCCGTCCGCCACACATGGAACCCCGCGTGACGCAGCGTAGCGACTCACTTTGTACACCGCCGTGGCCTGTGGACGCCCACACGCAAGGATCTCCTGTGTAATACAAATGCTTCCACTCCCCATACCAATGCGGAGGGCATCAGCACCGGCGTCAATTAGGTTCTTCGCCTGGTCCTGTGTCACAACATTTCCAGCGACCACCTCTAAATGCGGAAAGTTCTTTTTTACCCACTTGATAAATGAAACCTGATAGATTGTGTTGCCCTGTGAACTGTCCAGCACGAGAACATCAATACCGGCTGCGGCAAGAGCTGTGACGCGTGCTTTGTCATCATCACGTGTAGATGTTGCTGCAGCGCAGAGCAAATGTCCATTGTGATCAAGACTGCTGTTGGGATAGTCCCGAGCACGTACCGCATCACGGCGGGAGCAAAGACAAACAACCTCCTCCTTGTCATTTAGCACAGGCAAGTAGCCATGGCGACTGCGATTTAGCACGTCCATTGCCTCCTCCAATTTGATAGGATATCGTTCCACTGTCATGTTTTCACGCCTCGTCATGAACTGCGAAACTGGTGCTGACACATCCTTCACAAAGTCGATGTCCTTAGAACAGACGATACCGAGTAATTTGCCGTTGTGTTGACCATTATCCGTTACCAATATGCCACTTATCCCCTTTTCAGCCCTAATCTCGTGAATAACAGAAATAGGTGTGTCAGGCCCCACTGATTTGGGTCGCATAATGAAGCCATTGCGGAACATCTTGACGCTGCGTACCATCTGCACCTGCTGCTGAACCGTACAATTGTTGTGAATAACACCAATACCGCCCATTAACGCCATTACACGAGCCATTTCGCCTTCTGTCACTGTGTCCATCGGAGATGAAGCAATGGGAAGGTGCAACCGAATCTTTTTAGTGAATTGACCAGACACATTCACATCAGATGCCCCAAAATCAATAAAGCCAGGCAATATGATAAAGTCATTGTATGTAAGTCCATCACCGCGGAACAACTCCTCGGCTGAATCACCATCCCGCAAGGTCTTTGTGCGAAGATCGACGTTCGCCATTTTATTATTTCACCTTCCTTTTCTCCTTTTATTTCCACTTCTCGGATTTCCTGCGCTGTGAAAACTCCTTTACAAACACAAGAAGAAAAAAGGCATTTTTTTTTTTAATTCGAGGAGGGAGAGATAGAGATAGAGAGCATACGGAATTTAAAAAAGAAAAAAGAGAAAAAAAAAGAAAATCCATGAAGAAAATGTGTTGACCGAGAAGGAAAATCCATCCGTCACTTCCAGCATTGATACCTTTGGTTATTTTTTTCCATGCGTTTACTTTTCTCTTATGCTTCTCTCCACCATTTTTGTTCTCTCTCTCTCTCTCTCTCTCTCTCTATTTCCTGATGTAAGAAGAACAAGAAAAACATTATGATGAAAAATAGGTGACGTGGCTTTTTTTTGTTGTTTCTCTTCCGTCGGCGTATACTGTGATCCCTTCCTTTCTCCTTTTTTTTTTCTTCTCCTTTTGTTTCCTCCTCACTACTGTACCAGAGACAGCTTCGTAACCAGCATGACGCGGATGCTCTGGTCAAACGAGGCGCAGGCGAGCAATCCCTCCTTCCCGCGGTTCCAGTCGAGCGCGTGGATCGGCTGGTCGCCCACTTTGGCGCGGTTGAGTTCCGCCACTGCGCCGGGAACGCCCTTCGCAGTGCCGTCCGCATCCCGCAACACCCGCTCGGCGGGGTAGTGATAACAGCAGAGAGTGAGTTCACCACCGCCGCCGCAGAGAAAGATCTCGCGGTTCTGCGGTAACGCTCGTGTACACCACACCGTACCGTTCGATACACGCTCCTCTACGTATGCGTAGCCAAGTTTTGGGTGCAGTGTGCGCATATCGTACACGCGGATGCGGCCTTCCAGCGAAGAGACAATTAGTTTGTTCATGCTGATGTCAGGGCGGTCAAACTCCAAGTCGCACACACCGTTGCCCACGTTAAACTCATGTAGCATTTTCTGCATGCGCAAGTCGAATAGCTTCACATCCCCATTATCGTAGCCAGCAGCTACGACACGCTCATCAGGGTCAAAACTATTTCCAAAACGCACAGTCCAACAATCACGTGCGTGAGCAGGGTCAGTTGGATTTAGTGACACCACCGGTTTTGCTGCCTGACGCACGTCCCATACTTTAACACAGCCGTCTCGCCCACAGCTAGCAATCTCTGGTGGACCAGTAAACTGTGCCCCGTCAACGGCATTTATGATGCTCTCGTGTGCGTGCCCATTGTGAAAAATCGGCTCGCCATCGAGATGTTCAATGTCCCACACAGAGAGACCACCAGCGAAGTCTCCAACACACATTGTTATAGCCGACTGCTGCTGGACGTTGTTGTGACCAAATGTACAACACTTTATGGGCATTTTAGTCTTAATTTCCCGCTCTACGCGAAGTTCGCCCTTGTTAAGCTGAAACAGGGAAATAGCACCCTGATTGTTCGGGTACTGGCCTACTACTGCTAAAGTCGCACTATACGGCACCCACTTTACATCAAAAGCCGTGTAAAGGAGATTCTTTTTCACATGTTCAATTATTTGCTGTCGAGAAGTGCGATTTCGCTCCTCGCGCTTTCGTACTCTCTCCTCTTCCTCAGTCAAGAATGACATATGCAAGTCTCTAACTAATTGAAAAACAGGTAAGAGATGTAAAGAGACGAACAACTAAGGAGCAAGGTGAAAAACAAAATAGATATAAGAAACGATTAATAATAAGTAAAAAGAATAGCACATAAAAAAAAAAAAAAAAAATGAACAAAATTGCGCACCCGAACCCTCGTGAAATCATCAATCCCTCTTTCTCTCTTTCTTTTGACTCTTTTCTTTCGCTTGCAATAAACATAAGACACAATAAAAAAAAAAAAGAAGATAGTAACAAATCACTTTTAGATGTGTAATCCCACACACCCCTTTATTTGCCTCATAAAAGTTCTTTGCTGTATTGAGAACACGTTTGCATAGTTACTATTATACCATTTCATTTTTGCTTCATATTGATTGTTGTTTTTTCTTTTTTTTCGACCTTCACTTCTCGTTGTGTCAAAATGAGAAACTTGGAAAATCCAACAACGAAAAACAAACTCATTAAATATATTTGCCACCACCCCCAAGATCTGTGATTATTTTGAAACACAGAGATACATAGGTAAAGAAAAAAAATATATAAATATAAAAATCAAACATACACATACCCTTGACATGGGAGAGAGGGCGAAAGGAGAGCATCGTGCAGCACAGTGTTGATAACTGTGCCCATTGGCAGCAATTTTCACCTCTTACTGACTCTCTTTATCCTCACTCACTCTTACACACAGGCACCCAACTCACTTGTAAACGCTCAGAAATACTGAAAAAAAAAAAAATGAGGAGGGAAAGGAGGAAGCAAATAGTTAAAAGAAAAAGGAATAAGAAAAAAAAAGTCAAGAGGCTTGTAATGCCACTCACCCATGTAATTAGCATAGTTCAGAGATATATTTATTGTTGTTCGCTCGCTGAAGAAGAAAAGAACTCATCTTCTTGCCTTAACCCCCAAGTGCAGCCATCTCCTGCAGGGCAGTAACAAGTTGGTCTGCAAACCCTTTGGATGATGTTTTCGGACAGCTATGCTTCGACGTTATAGTGAAGTAGAGCAAATTCTCGCCATATATACAGTAGCAAACACCGTAACCGTCGTCTGCCACAGGGCCGAATCCACCATTGGGTGTCTCAAAAAGTGAGGTGTTATTGTTTGTGTGGTACTCAGGCGGCAGCTGTCGTGTGAGCACCTGCGACGTACTGAGCTTCCACTTGGGCCGAAGTGCCAACTGAAGAAACTCTGACGCGTGTCCAGTGCCGGCGCTGACGCAGGCAAGAGCAAAGAGGTGACGGTCCACGCCGTGGCCAGCCACAGCGTCGCGCGAGTAAAGTTGATGTTTCTCGCATGCTTTTCGCAGCAACTTCGCTTTTTCCACCTTACTCAGAGATGGATTCTCCATCCCCCGCACAAAGGCACATGAATCTTTACTGACAGTACGTATGGTTTCTGTGCGCCCTTTACGATACATACGCAGTGAGGCCGCTTCGTACGTCTGATCAAAGTGTCCCTGATCGCGGAAATATGCCAACTGCATTGCCATCTGCACCCATGCATCGGGGCTGCAGCCAAACTTCTTGGGGAAGTTTTTACCGTATTCGTCAAAACGGCAAACATAAAGATCGAGATCCCTCACCTCCTTTGAGTACCGTTCATGTACAGCATTTACACTAACCTTCAATTCCCTGTCAAGTGTAAAGCGAATGCGGCTGGGAGCGAAGACTTCAAATTTGCCTTGCTTCAGTGCTCGTTCGTCTTCGTCCAGTTTCTTTACATGGCCATCTTTTTCGAATAATTCACCGGTTTCATCTGTTAAATAACAGTACTCCAACACATGGGCGAGAGTGAGAGCATCACCCCATGAGTGTTCCACATGTACACCAGAGTAACCATCTGGGGTAACAACAAGGTTGAAACTTTTGTCACTCCAGCGGTTATGGCCATTACCACATAACAACAACAAGCTCCTTTCATCAATAGAATTTGGTGTCACATCATCAAGGGAAAGTACAAAAATAGATTCCTCTATTACACGTAGAGGCTTTACATTATATGCATTGTTGACAAAGTGCTTGTCACGAATATCCGCCCATTCCGTGCGTGGGGCGGTGGTAAATGCAGGAATAAGTGCTTCCACAGGGTCTGTCTCTTCGTCAGAGTTTAGAATGGTTTCCAGTGCCATCTCCAGTTGGTACGGAGAAAGCTGGTGATTTGTACGTGGGTGTAGCACCTCTAGCTGGTAGAAACGACCCTTGTAAATCACAACAATATGCTTAATTCCTTCGTACTGTGTCAAGACGTCCATCTCTCGTCCAGGAAGGCGGGTAGTATTGAAGACGTAACGATATTGAGACATGTCTAAAGGAACAAGTCCACCAAATAGCGGTGGAAATGTAGATCTATCAAGACTTTTTTTTATCTTGATGAGGTTATATATTAATGATGCCGCACGGGAGGCCTGTAGATGAGTAGGTGTGTATTTGGCAAACGGAATTCCAAACCAGTTGGAGTTAATGCAGAGACTTTCACGCTGGGCAAGATACACATATTTTAACCACCAGTCAGACATATAATTTTCTGCAAACATGTATTTTACCTTCAGCATACGCTGAAACCTTGGACCTTCATCTTTCAAAAACTTCTCGGAGAGTTTAACTAGGCGATTCCATTCATCCGGTTTGCCCTCATAGAGTGGTTCCACTGAGATCATAAAGCGCTTTACAGTAGACTCCAAATCTGGCAATGGTTGTGCCGGTAGGCAACTTTCATATGCCTCAGTCTTATTAAGGGGGTGGAAAAAGAACGTTTTAAGAATGAATGACCATATACGTGTTTTGCGGCTATGGTTTCTGCTTCCCTCATATATATAGCCGTTATATTTGAGTACCTGACGAAGGAGAAAACGTTGCACTGCCGTGAAGGCTGACACACAACCTATGACTAAATTTGCACAAAGTACTGGCATGCGGTACTGCATGGGGATGCGCTTTGATATAGGGTTTTTCTCGTCAAGACGCCATAGAACATCTGAAATGGTATTTGTACGTATCCACGCATCAGGTTTCGATTTGAGGACCCACACAAATACCCCAAGGGCGAGGGATGTCACAACGGAAAGTGGGATTGGGTACAACGCGAACTGCACCTTGTCCACACCGTGCCAAAAGGAACGACGCATATTCTTAAATATAAAGTAAGGATGTGGAATATAGAGAACGATTCCGCTTTTACTCACATAAAGCTGTGTTTGCTTCCTGCTGGTATCCACTTCAAAACCGACATGCTGCAAGACAACAGTGGGCTGTACCGCGAAACGTGCCTCCGCCATTAGCTCTCTTCTCTGCTATGTGCGATTCTCTTGATCCGCGTAAAGCAACGATCTGGACACAGATACAGAAGTAAAAAAAAAAAAAGAGAAACATCCAAGAAGAAACCAGTTTGGAATATAATACAAATCAAATAATCATCACAAAAAAAAAAGAAAACCAAGAAAGGATCCAGCAAAAAGAAAAAAAAAAATTTTTAATTCTCGAACTAATAGGTAGGATGAAAAAAAATTGCGGTGAACCTCAATGAAAAATAATAATAATAATAATAATAATAATAATAATAATAATAATAATATGATAGTGCTGCTACTATCGTATTTTCACAATCATTAAAGGGGAATTACGAGACGAACATTTTCTTGTAGATAGCCCGCTGCTTCTCCTCGTACGCCTTACATTGTTCACGCACGTGCTGCAGGAGCACCTTGGCATCTGTGTTTTCTGCATTGAGGGTGAGAATGTGCTCCAGGTCGCGCTTTGCATCGTCCCACTCACCCAATGCAGTGTTTGCCTTGGCACGGCGGTACAACGCCTTCACGTTGTCCCTCTCCGCCTCGAGTGTCTTATTACAATACTCGACGCACTCCTTAAACTGCCGCTTGTTCAGCAGTACCTGGGCGAGATTACCCCAGAGCAGAACACGGGCGGCGCGGGCGCCAGTCTGCGTGGCCTCGTCGAAGCCGCTGTCGTACTCAACGAACTCGAGAGCGCGGCGGTACTTCCGCTCCGCAACGTCGAGGCGTCCGTCACGGAACGCCGTGTTGCCTTCCAGTCGACGCCGCTCGCACTCGTCAAGACGCGCCTGATCTTTGAACAGCCACGTCTTCACCGTAGTGAGCTCGTGCAGTTCCACAATGTACGTCAGCTGATCACCAGCGTGGATGCCAAACGGCTCGCATGAATCCCGCACAAGACGGCTGGCGATACAAAAAGATGCCACTTCTTGCTTGCGCATTGTCGACAGGCACTTCTCGAGTTGCGGTGGAAGTTCCGTATCTCCCACAACAAGTTCCCAACCAAGGCGCTCACACAACAGTTTACCCTCCGCTTGTGTGCCAGAATAAACACGCAGGTCAATCTTCACCGTCGATTCATAGCCAGGCTTCTCATAGTCAACACCTTCAACAGTGATGCTTTTCATGATAGACTTATCCTTTTCCTCCGAAATGTCCTCATCGCGCGTCCAGTCAAAGAGTTCCACTTCAAACAAAAGTGTGGCATTTGCTGGGATCTTCGGCGGGCTACCAGACGCTCCGTAGCCGTACTCCGGCTTACATTTAAGCACCGCCTTCTCACCAATACGCATTGTGGCAATGCCCTTGTCCCATCCTTTAATAACCTGTCCACGACCTAGTGTAAATACAAAGTAATCACCGCGGTCACGACTGCTGTCAAACTTTGACCCGTCTGACTCAAGTGTTCCCACGTAGTGCACCTTCACCTCTGCACCTTTCACAGGCCGCGTACCGCTTCCGGCGACCAACACTGTCTTAAAGAGGCCTCCGTTTGTGTCAGGTACTTCAGTTTCCACGCCAACAGGATATTCCACCTCCCGAACTGGCTGGCTGTCCACACTTGACACGCTGCTTTCTGCTGAAGACATTGAAGATATCCTTGATAGAATTTTTTCTTTGAATTTGATTTTTTTTTCTTGGGTTTATTTTTTGCTGGTTACGGTTTCGATGTTCGTTTGTTTGTTTGTTTTCCTTCCTTAAACCTTGTCATCATATATATATATATATATATAGTGGTAAAGAAAAAACAAAGGTGAGAGAAGAAAGGGGTCAAAAACGAAAAAAAAAAGACAACATGAGTATAACAGAGTAAGAAGGAAAAAAAAGAGTGGACAACCGAAGAATGGAGGTGGATAAAAAAAAAAAAAACCAAGATGAAATCCATCTTTCTTTCTTCTTTCCTACTTAGCCGCGTACCCTGGTTCCTCTGGTGGGTTCTTTGCCATCCCAAGTGTCGCCCAACCAGGGGCTTGCCGCGGCAGGACCTTGCGGTTGCGCTTCAACCCAAGCGCTTCCTTAAATTCACCCGCCTCCAATGCTGGGCCTTGCAACCGGTAGTAAAAGCGATCCAAAGTCGTCGGGTTATCAGGAGTTTCCTGCCGGTCGTGCATCTCACTTACTGACATAGAGAGACGTTTACCGAGCGCCGCCGCTCCGCGACTAGCTTGCTCCAAATTTGTTTCTGGTGGATGTGTCCAGCGCTCTACTGAGGTGGGATGACTTGCACGGAATGGTGCTGGAATGTCAACATCACCGCGTGCAGCGTAAATCTCGCTGTTACCCTTCGGTAGGTATCCAAGCATTACTTTTATCTCACGTTGACGTTGTAGAGAGAGACCATCATCTTTATCTGCCCAAGCTGTTCCATTCTCTAGTTTCTGCAAGTATGCTAGTCGTTCACGCCCTGTTTTTTTATTGTACAAGTCGTCAAAATATATTTCTCGCTCATCTTCAAGAATTCGACGATCACGCACCGCATCCAGCTGCTCCTGCGTTGGGTGTACAACAGAAGTTTTGGGTGATCGTCCTGTTGATGGGTATAAGTAGCAAAAGACCTCGTTGTAGTTTGCTTGGACAGTGCTGGCAGTATGATACGCTTTTAAGTGTAGTGTCTGTCGTGTCACTTCGTCCAGAATCGATCGAAAAACAGGAAATCCCTCTCGTGGTGTTCCAAAATCCGTTAAATTAATACGAACGGCGTGACCATGCAATAAATGTTTTGCAATCCCAATGCTCTTAAAACGAATAGCATGCGGATGTGTCCCACCGCGAAATGGAACCTCTATGCATTCTTTTGTAGGAGGTGGTTGCACACCAAGTTTCTGTATTTTGAAACGAATCATATCTCTCATGTGCTCTCGGTGATCAGCAATAATACAAAGTGCCACAACACGTCTTTCACTCTTCTCTGTGTGAATTGCCCCCACACGTATAAGATCAAGACCTAATTCACGTGCCATACGTCGTGCCTGAGAGGCGGGGAGGTCTACATCGGTGTCAACATCACCAGCAGGAAACTGCGCCACTGCCTGAGCATCACCGGATACAATACTGCGGATACGCACAAAAGGTTCCTGTATCATCTCATTGATGGGGTGAGCTTGAAAGTACAGAAGCGTCTCTTTGCGCACTCTACCTGTCGAATAGCCAACCTCACTAGTGTCCATAGGACCTTCTGCCATCATGTCATGTGTGTTTCCCTCCTCAGCGTAATCGGTAATCTGCTGAAGCCGTTGGCGATTGTTCGCGTCGTCCCAGAAGTCAATGCCTCGAATTTCCAGCAAAGAATTATCTGCCGGTCTCTGTCTGTACGCATCGTACGGAGGTAGTGAAGAAGAAGTATCAGTAGTAGTAGTATTAGTAGTATTAGTATTCATCTGTCTTAGTATATGTGTCGCAGATGATTCAACAGAAAGAGAATTTGCTGTCGATGTTCCAGATTCAAGATCATTACTATCAACTTCAACAGGGAAGTGAGGATTTGCTTCTGGGGGGAGAAGGACACTGCTCTTGGCGTTGACATCCTTCTCTTCCTCCTGCTGTATGTTACAGCACAAGTTAACACCCCAACTACCTTTTGTTGTTCTTGCTGTTGCCTCTCCTCTTCCCAAAACCCTACCTTTACCCATATGCTGGCGGTACTCCTCTGCAAAGACATGGTATGAACTTTTACCCCGTCGTCCAGAACCAAAAGTTGCGTAAATGTTGTCAAACTGTGGAAGCTCCTTGCCGCGCTGATGATAATCACGCATCATGTCCGTCTCCACTTGATCTAAATCACTCCCCAGCACAGTACATTTTGGCAGCACGCAACTATCTGTTTCTCCCTCCTCCTCATTAAATTCCTTTTCTACAAGAATAGGTGACCGCTCCGTAACGGTGCGAGTTGGCGTCTCTACACCACTCCTCAGTGCCCGTTGCTGCATCTCACGACGGCTCTCTTCCACTTGGGGTTTATCATCAATACGAATATCCCCATCCTTCTTGCGGCGCTGAGAGTATATCGCAGTCTCTTCAGTGAGCTTCCGTAACTCCGCCTTCAGTCCTTCGGCTGTGAGTGGAACACTGAGCTTCCGCTTTTTCCGTGACGGTCGCTTCTGTGCAATGTGTGCAGTACTAATGCCTCCCTTTGCTTGGGAGGCGAAGAGAGAACTTGGAAGCGGCTCCTCAAAGTACATGCCACCCAGCGGCGTACGGTACATCCGAAGCTGCCATACCAAGTGCATCTGTACAGCAGCCGGTGCCCGCCGCATTGCTTCCTTTTGCAAGAAAAAAGAAAGAAAGAACGGAAATAAAATAGAATAATGATAATAATAATAATAAGGGGGAAAAAAGCTATCAAATTTAACATCAGACATTGCGCTCCAGTTTGAAGTGAACTGCCCCCACCACCCCAGAGGTCAGTCACTTTACGAGGAATACGGTTAAGAACGATTATTACAGTAGAGAACTAGCTCAATATGGCTCCTGAGAACAAGAAAAACACAGAAATTATGGTTCCGTAGATAACGCCCAGTTTATTCCTCAGAAGAAGCAAAACAAGAAAAAAAAAATGATAGTTACTGTGAATGCACTACGCACACTCAAGTATATACACATATATAAATATAAATAAATAAATAAATATATATATATATATATATATATACGCATCTATATCACTACAAGGAACTAAGACACCTGTACGTTCGAAAAGTGCACCCTTCCAGCCCAACTATCAACTGCTGATGGAATCGCATAAAAAAGAAAAAAAAACAGCTTCTGTAAATGACAAAACATTCACACTGCATCATCATCACTTTAGTACGGAAAATAAAAGAAATTGATTCCTATATTAGTTGTGAAAGGCAGGTAACTAAAACAGAGTATATATATATATATATATAAACTTTTTATAAAAAATCTTTTTCACAAGTAGTGTTCGATACTCCAAATACTTTTACGAAGATCCACCTGCATAAATTCTCCGTGCGTTTTTTTTTTTTTTTTTACCTAAACACATTCAGTTTTTCATATGATATTTACGTGTATAACGCTGTTCATCGTGTATTTTTTTTTTTTTTTTTTACCTTTCTTCCTTCTTTCTTTCCTTCGCCATCTATTTCCCTTATGCTCCTATAACACAGTACTAAACACGCATCTTATCGTCATCCTTATCCAGATCTTTTTGTATAATCGACTCCTCCTCTAACGCCCGCGATGCTGTTTTAAGATGTGTGTACCAGAAGACGCCAGCAAGGGTAAGGATGACCCCGAGAAGTTTTTTGACATTCATGTCACCTCCGAAGAAAAAGTACCCAAAGAAAAGAATGACACAAAGCTTGAAGTGGCCCAAAACGTTGTACGTCACTGGAGAAGTTTTGCCAATAACAAGAAAAATGGAGATATTTACAAGGAATGCAACAACGCCACTAAATAAAATGACCATCACGGTATCTGAACAAGGATAAATCAATTTGGGCCCCTCAACAAAGTAAGCGATGGGTACAAGCAAAAGAGCAGAGAGAGGTGCCTGGTAGAATAGTAGCTGACAGGAATCGCACTCGAGTTCCTTTTGCTTTGTTCCAACCCATATTTGATACTGGCACGTTACCAAGAGTGCTGACAAAGCAATAACAACACCAGTGAGGTTCACTTCACTGTCTGTCACGGTTGCTATCGCAACCCCAATGCAAATTAGCGCAAGTGAAAGCTTGATCTTGGTGGAGAATGTCTGTCTGTAGATGAATGTCTCCATCACCACCAGTAAGGGTGTGGTAAGAACCTTAATGAGTTGATAAAAACCAACAGAATTATATAGCAATGACATATTTGTTAAAACAACAAAACCGCAAAAGCTGATACTCAATGGCAAAACACGTATTATGCTAATTCGTTTCGGTTCAAAAACACCACATGCCAAGGATAACAATAAACCGAGAAAGGTCACCACGAAGTGAATCAGTGTTAGCGTAATACTTCCCCTGAAGTCATGATCCTCAAATATCCATTTGTTAATGAAGACAATAGTAATACTGCTGAATGCATTGAGAGCCAGGTAAAACGGTATGAGCAGACGATGGGAGAATGTGAACATCTTTTCCTTTGTGTATCCACAGAAACGAACAATATGCCCACTGCAAGCAGAAAATCCGTCAAAGCAGAAAGAAAGAAACTTCTCTGTTTTCCTTCAGGTAAATACAAGTGATACGCATAAACATAATTCGAAACAAAACAAAAACAGGAAGGGAAAAAAAAGCAAAAAAAAAAATACGAGAAAAGAAAGAAAGTAGAGCGAAAAGAATCACCAATGACAAATGTATGCACGTAGACAGATGTGTTTACTCAAATATACTACCAAAAGTAAAAAGGGAGGAAAAGCAAAAAATCTGGACGTACAAAAGAGATCTAGATAGATAGATAGTTAGATTGAGAATGTGAAATTGGGAAAGAAAAAGAGAGAGGAGGGAAGAGAAGAAATGTTTCAGAGAGTTAGGGTAAAAAAAGAGAGTCCAAGAAAAATCATTAGATGGCAATAGAAAAATGTTTACTTTTATTCCATGTTCACCTCATCACTCGCTTCTTTGCGTTCTCTCTCTCTCTCTCTCTCTCTCTCTCTCTCTCTCTTGTTATTCCCATCTCTTTCTAATTTTTGCCTTTAGGCTGGTAATCCCTTTATCTGTTGTCTCTTTTGTTTGTTTGCCTTTTTTTTCTCTTTTTCCTCTCGCTTTGAAGTCCATCATTCCCTCTTCCTTTTTCATCATCTCAGAGGCAAGCACGCTGCATTGCTCAGATCACCTCTCTTTACGTTGTTGCTGTCCTCCTTTTTTTTCCCTCCCCTTCCGTCTTCGCCTGCCTAGAAACGCCAATTGTGAAGAAGTAAAACGCTATAAGTACACATTGTATCGGAAATGATACGCATGAGTAGTGGGTTAGACGCAAACCCGCTGAGCAGTACCTGTGTTGGAAGCCCAATGAGAGCCGAGAGCGAAGGCACTGCGGCAACATCAGCAGGAAGAGACTCGTCCGCCAGCAGCGGCAGTGCGCCGGGGCCCGCGATGCGTGTGTCCCGCGGCGAGAGGGCAACGAGCGGTGGGACGAGGCGTTGGGCCTGTCGACGGCTACTGATGTGTAGCGCGCCGTACATCGCCGTAGGGATCGGGCAGCAGCTGGCCACTCGCCGACTGAACATACTCCTCTTCCTTATTTATATATATATATATGTATATATGTATATATGTGTGTGATCGGTATACCCTTTGTATGAGTGTGCGGCTGCCTTTGCACTGTGTAGGGCCCCGGCTAGCCTCGCTCTTGTTTTTTTTTTTGGTTTTCTGTCCCTGCTTATGAGACGAAAGATACGTTTACCTACGCAGAATGAAAATAAATAAGAGAAATAGAATAGAGAAAAACAAAGTGGTAGAGACTAGAAGTAGCATCACCTATCAGCATAGTAGTGGTGCCTTCTTATCTAATCTACATCTCTTTCTTCATATTATTATTCTTCTTATTCTTCTTTCTCCTTTCTTTTTTATCTACCATTGTTGGCATTCATGCCTCTATAAAGTATAATATTCTATGTGTGTCATACACTTCAAAAAGGAGATAAAAAAAAAAAAAAACCTTTGTAATGTACTGATTGTTATCAATAAACCACTTCACCTCTTACAACTCATATTTGGACGGTGTCCTCCAGCATCCTTCCTCGCTTGCCTGCATTAACTCTCGATGCGATAGGTACTGCATGGCACCATTCTCTAAGTGTAGTAGGGACTTCACAAATTGGCCTATGCGCTCTTGTGTGTCACGGTCCGACGCGTTGCGTGTCCAGAGACTCAACTTCCACTCACGACGCCGTTCTGCACGCCGCAGTGCTGCACCACAGATCTCCGTCTCGTCACAAGGAAGCTGTTCCCCAATCAGCGCGATGCACAGAGTCTCCCAAGCTTCATCGACACGCGGCGTGGGGGAACTAGGTCCGTCCCCCTCCTTTTTCTCCTCCTCCTTTGCAGATCCAAAGAGAGAGGTTGCTTTCCTTTGTTGTTGTTGTTGTTGTTGTTGCTGATGATGTTGCTGTTGCTGTTCTGGTTCCTGGAAACGAATCACCCAGCGACCGCCACGTCGGTTTGCCTCGTGTTCCCACATGGGGGCAATGTTTCGCCGGAGCATGTAGTAGGTGATGCCCGGTGGCATTTGCGATGGTGGCAACGTGCAAGAAACAATTCCCCAGAATCCCTCAGCGTTGTCAAAGAGACCAATACTGCGCACTTGATCCAACCACATGGTGTTGGTCTTCCCTTTGCTCTTTGGTGATGCAGACCCCTTGATTGCACTACCGCGAACACTGGCGTTGGTTTGCATGCCGCTAACAGGGTCTGGTACAACGCACCACATTTCCCACACACCCCATAATGGAGTTGTGCAATTTGGTGCCTGGAGTATTAGATTGGGTTCATCAGGTCGTGATTGCAGACGAGTCTGCATCGTTGTCAGCAGGAATGACTACTCCTTCACACCCTAATAAAAAATAAATAAATAAATAAATAAATAAGCAAGGAAGTATATATGTAAGTTGGGTATTATAAAGAAAAAAAAGAGAACATAAAAGGCATGAACAATATTGTTACCTTTACCTAAAAATAGAGATAGAAAAAACACATAATCCCTCTAGCAATTATTTAACACAAGATAATAATAAAAAAAAGACAAATCAATCCAGGAAGGACTGTCTATCCGTTTTAAATAGTGGTAGACACAGAGACGTAGGGGAAAAGAGAAAAATAAAAAGAGAAAAAGTTTTGAAACATAAATTCAGCAAAAAAAAAAAAAAAAACAGACTAAGAAAAATAATATTAGTAAGTTTATTTTTCAAAAAAATAAATGATGACACAAAAAAATAGATTGCAGAAAAACAATAGGGAAAAAAAAGATTGTAATACCTAAGTTTCGCAGCAATGTCCTAAAAAAAAAAAAAAAAAAAAAAAAAACAGAGAGACCATTTTAATAATAGAAGTATTTATCTCCAGCATCAGCGATCAAAACGCCGTCATCCGTGCTGTTTACCGAGAGAAGCAAGGAAAGCACAGACGCTCGAAAGCTATTGGTCTATAAACGGGGTTTTTGGTGCAACCATGAAGTGCAGCAGCTCCTTCTCTACTGCAGAGACGTGTGTCCACTGACGTCCGTCAAAGTCGACACCGCCTAGCACAGCTTCCATGTGTTCCTTTGGATATTCGCATGGGAAGGACTCACAACCCGTGAGGAAAACGCAGAGCGCCATACCGGCGGTGAAAATATCCATCCGCTTTCATAAGCTTAGCGAAAGTGATTGATCGTTTCTCGCGTACTTGTGGTGGACACTTTTTATTGCTTTTAGCTCCAGTACTTAATTTGACTTGGTTAGTGTACACAGCAACAATATCCAGTGCCGTGAATACCAACGCATCATAGGATGTGGCAGCTACAGATACCTCATCATTCGTACAAGGCGTTCTGCTACTTGCAGCTGTAACTGCTATATGAGAGCCCTTATCACTTTAAAAGTTCATACCATAATATCTATTGGTGTTCATAATGCCGTTATTGTTGTTCTCGTTACTATTGTGGTTACCTCTATCCACCCCCAATGTTGAATACATATGAATAGACTTTACTTGGGTAAAATGCCGTGCATAACCAAAAACTCCTAAAACAATCGAGTAGACTTCATTCTTTTTCAGAACCCTAATACCTACAGGAGTAGGGTGGTAGCACAACCGTGTCGCACTTTTTCCTCAATATTGCTTTGAAAACAGAGCCACTGGCAGCAGCGGCGATTAACGTACCCTCTGTGAAGAAAGTATCCCAAGAATCCCCAAACGGAAAGAGTAGAGGCAAACCCATCCACGATGGCACGAGAGAAAAAGAAATATGTTGTACCAGCCCCTATCGTCAGAGTAAGAAAGAATACAATATCATACCTGACAGGGTACAGAGAAAATAGAAGGATGGTTGTTGCATCACGCGCACACACGGAATCTAGTTCCCTCTTCCTGTCCATCCTTGTGACGTCGAAGAGTCATGCAGCTCTCGCACCAGATACTCCCACAATGACGGTAGTAGTGTTTTCCTCTCTTAACTCCCACCCCCTCACATACACCCCACCAAAAAAAAAAAAAAAAAACGCAGACACAGAGAGAGAGAGTGTGTGTGTGTGTGTGTGCATCGACGCACCGAAAATTTTAGCACTCTCCGATTAAGCTGCGCAGTGTGCTTGGGTACGGCAAGTTGAAACTCTGCATCAGTAATACGAGCATTTGTTGCTCCCATTCTATCTCGTATTTAGTACTCTCTGTGTAATAATATACATGTATATATGTGTGTAATTACAAGTTACTACGGTGCTCTGTCACCGATAATAAAGAGAAGTACGGTGGTGTAACGGCTAAGAAAAAAAAAGAAAGAAGAAAGGGGGAAACTCTAGGAGAGCCGAAAAACAAATACTAAATACAATCCTTAAAGTGGGACATGGTGATATACCTCAGTCAAAAAAAAAAAATACTCTACAACGTTGTATAACGGAGAACAGATACTCTGCAGGGAAGCATGTATGTTTTTCCTCCATGCTTTCGACTTTGATTTTGACCCAAAGATTTTTTTTCTTCTTTTTTCTTTATACGCCATTTCCGCCACTACCATGAGAAATTTGTTGTTCCCTAGTTTGCTCGGATGATAAGCGGGCCCGACGTCGTTCCGCCGCGAGGCACTTCATCAAGTCCGTTTTGTACGGAAAGTAACAGCTCACATGTTTCATGTGAAGCTCATAGCCCTCAACGTGATCGGCGGTCATGCAGCTGTAAAGCATGATATTATGCTCGTAACAAGGATGTTCAGGTTTCATCTCCGGATCATACGGATGGAAGGGATGACGTCCGAGAAGCTCATTGACGTGTTTTTCACCAATTTCCTTTGGTGGTAACTTCTGTAGGTAGGCGTTATCACCGTACATCCAGTTGATGGCCCGACGGAAGTATGTGTCCTCCGACATGAGTGACCTGGATCCTAGTCAAGAGTAGGCTCTAGCAGTCTCTTCTTTTCAAGTAAAAGAGAAAATAAGCACATTTTTGTAAATAAAGAAAACCCCAAAGGTCGCATTAGTCATATATCACGTGCACTACCATTCCTCCTGTACTAACCCCTGGGCACACTTCGCTCATCGTGGAAATAGAAATGAGGCAGCAACCTCTGCAATAAAAAAGGAAAAAACAACAACAACAACAACAACAACAACAACAGCCTCAATAAGAAGAGCAATTACAAGAAAAAAAAAGGAAGGAAGAAGTAGAGAGGGAACCCCATGCTGGGTAAGAAAAACTGGTGTTACCCGAGCATTTTCATACAGTGTAAATACACCTAAAGTACGTCGCGGAAACCATCTCGAGGATCAGCAGCAAAGTGTTTTACTCCATTTCCAGCAAAGAGTTGGATTCCATTATCATAACCTAATAAATTTGCACTGTCAGATGCTACAAGACCTGCCATGCGCAGCAACTGGCCAAGGTATCGTAAGACAATCAGCACTCGGTGCTCTGCCAGTGAGGCGTGCTGACGTGAGAAATGAAGAATAAAAAATATGGTTAGGCAAATCACGCATGCTACAGCCTCTGAAACATTAAATGCTGACTCCCAAAAATTGTTTCGCATAACAGCTAATCGCAACCCAATCTCACTGACGAATAAAAACGTCAGTAAACCCTCCGCAATATGGTACCAAAGTGTCATTACCCACTCACTGCTAAAAAAACTGATTAACAAAAGAAAGAGTGATGCAATCACAATAACTCTGTTGGTCTTCGGACCAAAAAAAACAAAGTATACATTCTTTAGACGTTCACGCAGAGGTAACAATTGGGGCATCCCATTATATGAAACAGGACAAAGACATCTTCTAAACATCATATATACATACAGAGAGAGAGAGAGAGAGAGATGTACCTATATTTGTGGTTTTTTTTTTGTCTCGAGTATAGTGACACCAACGGGTGCCTTGTCACTATCTCCTCTTTGTTTTCTTGTTTTTTTTTCCTATTAGAGCATCATATAAAAAAAAAAGAAAGAATTACATATATCGGGTGTTGTACGCATGAACAGAAAAAAAAAACACTATCAATCATCTGTAAATGTAGCCTACAGAGTATGATTTTATCTTATTATATTTTACTAAAATTTTACTTCTGTTTCCCCAAAAGAAACACAACACTAACAAGTACAGGTGCGAATGTCGCAAGGTAATATTCAAGTATGCCATCTCCATGACATCTCCTAGTGCTTCAACTGCTGCTGCTTCTGTTCATGTTGCAGTACCCCCTAATGGTTTTCTTTTTTTTTTTTTTTGGCAACATACACTGGAACAAATAGAGATTCGTGGTGACAACCAGCAAAAACATTACCAATCATACCAGCTATGGCAAGTGATGTGCTAAACACTTCGGTAAACCAAACTGCGTTCAGGTAGGAATTCACCCCCGTTGTAATTCCCCTGCATCAGAGGCAAATAAGGAAAAGGTTGAGACAATTCTTTTTTTTTTTTTGTTTTTCCAAAGAACGGAAGGGTACTAACGAGAACACTGAAAATCTCATTACAAAGGTTATGCACTCATTTTTATGGATAGTTGGTAATGCATGAGGATAGAACTTTTTTCAAAGATGATCTCTTACATCTGATTTCTTTTCTGATGTGGGTTCAGGAACGCTGAGAAACTCATGTGACTTTCATGCCTAGTACAGAAACCATACCCCTTGCAATGATTACATTACCAGTGACTCCAGAGATCGATCAGTCTTTTTATGCTCTTTTTTCCCTCTCCTTTTTTCAGCACTTCTCAAAGAATGGCAGCAGGAAAAGAATACAAAGAGAAAAAGAGATAGAAAGAGAGTGGAGAATACAGGGGTTCTGGTCATTCTATTACTCAAATATATTTACTGTACCCCAAATATCAAACACAAGTTGGCCTTTTCTCTCCAGTAGAAGCACACGCTGTTCACGCACACTCTCATCGTCATCGTCACCTTTAGATACTAATATATGGTGCATTAATCGTTGACGCAAAGATTTCAGAACAGCTACTGGTCCGCAAGCAAATAGTCGTGCTCCTTTTTCTAGAAGCTCAGAACGAAGTTCTTCAGAATGAGACTCTAAGACATCAGTAACATACTTGTGATATCCCCCTTCATTTTGACGTGATAATGCCACATCATAGCGTGAAATAGCATTTAATTTTAGCGCTTCCTGTAGTTCTCGGTGAAAAAGAAGCTCTGAAGAATTTCTTGCTCCGTAGACCACCCAACAATTCGGTTTCGTTAGTTCTGAACACGCATTATTATAACGGTAACGTAAAAGCTCGTGAACAGCACTCATCATTGGTCCTATACCTGTACCAGCACCAACAAGTATTAGTAATGGATATGGCTTCTTCAACAACGTTCTCTGTGAGGTAAATGGGAGCAAAGCTCCTTTCAATCCTTCTGTAAATTTACCTGTACCAAATAATCTTGTCCCCACATACATGGGAACTGATCGTGGTTGTGAACGAAAATTACAAAGAGGATATGACACATGTCCTCTAAAAAAATGAGTTTCTTCTGAATGGGTAGTATACCTAGAGGAGGCAGCATCTCGTAACAATTTTGCAAGAACATGTGCGGCAGTATCCTTTTCACTCCAAGAATCGTTGGGATTTATCCTGTTGACATCAACTCTTCGAAGACATAGCTGTACAGAATTCAATTGTTCCTCTGAATTATTTTTGCATAATGTATGGTGAACTACGCTAAACTTTCTTGGACGTAACGGTCCACTTACTTCCAATAGTCTCGCTATTGGAATTTTTGCAAAGGGAAACACACTAAGCATGTCATTCAGCCTTGGATAGCAAAAAGCATTACCACCATTCATAATGGTTTTGTAAATAAACGGTGCTGTTTCATCTGAAGCACATGTCTCTAATAGCTTCATTGAACCAATATTTTCATTTCCAGTTGTAGAAGAAATCTGATTAGTTTTATTCACAGATGCAGCGCGCAACAATGTCTGAAAAAATACTGGACGGAGGAGGTAGCTACAGCTACTAATATCCACAAAGTATGCCAAAAGCGTTCGAATCTGAATTCGGCACTGTAGCGGAAGCCATGGAGGAAAGTGATTTTCTGGTACAAATGGAGATTTGTGAATTTCACACCATTGATCAGGATTTATACCTAATCGACCGCATACCTCTTCTACCTCTCCAAAATGTCCGGAATTATTTTCATCACTATCATTGGGAATGAAAATCTCCACAACATCACCCGGTGAGGGTATTTCTGATTGGGTTCCTTTTTCAGTTTTGTTAATCTTATCCAAAAAGACATCAATTACTTGCACTGAATGTTCATCATTCGTAATTTTGTCATCAGTTGTAAAAGAATTACTACTCAATAATAAACAAACATCACGAATAGATGCAAAACTATCAAGTATTCTCGAGACCGCTTTTAATGGAGTTATAGTTGGATATTGACTACTGGGACCTTCCACATATTTTACTACCACAGATCCAATATAATTAGGTGGTGCATCATCGTCATCGTCTGTGGATGATCCAGATTCATCTTCTTCGTCACTTTCTTCCATATATATTCCCTGTGCCTTTAATTCTCGCAACCTATGTTCATATTTTTCGAGATCGTCAAAGTATACGTCCCAAACACATCTTGCACACCCACTACCGCAACACTCACTGGGAGCAGGCTCTCGGGGACGTTTTAATCGCGATTCATTCCTCATTTTAACCTAGAAGAACCAAGAATAATACAATGAAGAGCAGATTTAGGTTCTTAAAATAAATAATGTCAAAGAATCTTCAGTCGAAATTAAAGAAATTAACAGCGTACAATGTTGGTATTGTTTTTTGTTGTTAAGAGAGGGGGGTAGTAATATATATATATATTTTTCTTGTTGTGTCTTAAGCAGCAGAATACTCTCACCTTATACCTTTACTTATGGTTCGGGTGAATGCTCCACAATGATACGCCACATCTCCTCTCGAAGGGATTCCAGTGTTAACTCCTCGTTATGTCGCCATACATAAGGTTCCTTCGCCATGGCATCCTCTTTAGCATCTCTAAATCTCGCAAAATATGGATGTTCCATTACATCCTTTGCCGTAAGTCTCTTTGCAGGGTGAAATACCAGAAGTTTCGAAAGCAAATCTGCTGCTTCAGGAGTTGCCATTGGAAAAAGTTCAGTAAATGGTCGAGCCATCTGATATGGTTGAGCAAGAAGAAAACATCTGGCTTCATCACTAAGAAATTCCATATCCTCAACATTTGGGGTCCCAAGTAAATGCACAATCATAATTAATTGTCGAATATAATCAGATCCAGGTAATAATGTTTTACCTACCATCAATTCGGCAAAAATAAGACCAAGACTCCAAACATCTACAGCATTTGTGTACTGATGAGATCCCATTCCTAATACTTCAGGAGGGCGATACCACCGTGTCACGACATATTCTGTGAGAGCGGCAGATGCTGTCCACTGATCATCTCGAGCAAGCCCAAAATCACAAATAGCCAAGGCACAATCAGCGTTTACGAGCAAGTTACTTGGCTTCAAATCCCGATGCATAACTTTTGCAGTATGTAAATAGCATAGACCTCGAAATGCTTGAATCATAAAGTATTGGTAATGTTCATTTGTCAGACTTTGTCTACTTCGAATAATTCGGTGAAGATCGGTATCGTACAAGTCCATTACCATATAGATATCGTCAAATTTTTCTTTTTGATTTGGACGAATAAATTCTCGTAGACGTATCAAATTAGTATGATGAAGACTCGTTAAGATGTCCATCTCCCTTAATATACGTTTTCCTTCTCTAATGTCAGAAAATACTCGAGATACCTTTTTGATAGCTATACGTTCTCCACTATTTTCATCAATAGCAGAGCAGACAGACCCGTACGCCCCAGAACCAACCAACTTTATAAGTTTATGAGATTTACCTACCTCAAACTTCTGTCCCTGAACCATATATAATCGTCTTCCCTCAGTTAAGGAAGGAACCTCATGAGGCTTATCCATCCTTCTTCAATATCTATAAAAAGGAATGTTTCGACACACCAACACCCACACTCATCAAAGAACGCTTCTTGTTGTTGTTTTAAGATGATATAATTAGAACAAAAACAAAAATAAAGGAAAAGGAAAAGTTTTAAATAAAGTAAAAAAAGCAATTATCATCTATTTTTTTTAATTCGTTTTTCCAAGGCATTTAAATGGTTATTAAGGAGAAAGTCACCATAAAATTACATATCCATACACTTTAAGCAATAAACGAAAATAATAAAATAAAACAATATAAGTATTTTCTTCCCACAAGAAATAAATTAATTAACTAAGCTAATGGACAATTTACAATCATCGTCCTCGATGACTTTAGAAACCTCGCCGAGACATCATCAATGACTATAGTTTTCGGTAATTGCACCAGCGTGCCATCAACTTCTATCGTATCTGAAGATACAGTTAAGTCCACATCTTTTATAGAAGCTACACCTGGTGGAGGATATAAACGCACAACTATTTCCTTTTCAGTGCAAGTTACAGATTGAACGGTCCATTGATTATGCTTTTCTTTTACATCTGTTAGTTTAATCTCAGATTCCTTGTTTTCAAGGGCTTTAATCGTTGAATCAGAGGTTCTTTTCTCTGTAGTAGTAGTCACACTGTTGAGTTGACGAGTATCTATCACCTGACACCTATTTCGCAGTTTTTCAGGGAAGTGTTGCAATGGATCTGGGGGTGGTAAATTACACTCGCTACTACCTTTGCTTCCGTATAATCGAGCATCATTGAGGAACCCTTTTCGAATACCACTTCCTTTTGGCATTTCCGTTACTAACGGTGTTCGTCTCGTCTTGGCCACATTTTTAGAATCATCTAATTTTAACTCTGTTGGCAAAAAAGATCCCTCATTGTCTTTTTTTTCTTGTACCCCTTCTTTTTTCATTTCCTTCTCAACGTTTTCTGCAATTTCAGAAAAAATCCGTTCAATATTTCTATTAGTATTTTCAAAATACTTTCTATCAGGTAATAATCTACTGCAACGCACATTTAACCGCATCCCACACTCTTGTAGAATCCAATCAATCGCAAGCGCTGTTAACCTCGTGACAAAATGCTCAAAAAGATGATGACTCTGGACACAACGTTGAGTTAAAGAAGGATGGATAACTACGTCTATAACAAAGTTATATTTTTTGCCTTCGTACTTTTCTGGAGGCCCAACAGATATTGGTACAATTAGATTATCAAGACCGTACTCATCCAAATAGGTCTCCGGAATGGGTTCCATGTTCTTCGCCAAGGCCATTCCAACGGAAGAATGACCACAAACATTAACCACAACCAAGGTCTCCTTGTCCTCTGCCAGGGATTCAAAGCAAAATCCTGCTTCAACTCCCGGTGCAGAAGGCATGAGACTTTTTTTGTTATTTAAGAGAATAAACCTATCAATGCCCAAATTACCAAGAAAAAAAGAATGTGTAACTTACTTCATAAGATGAACAGCAATAATGGTTACTAATCTGGTAATGCAAAACAAAACCCCGCGCAAATTGTGATCAGAATAACAGCAAGACTCGCCAAAAAAAAAAAAAAAAAATGACACATCCACGATATTTTTTGATATACATATACAAACACTGTTTCAATAAAACAAGAGAAGACACTCGTTTGATTCAAGTGTCATCATCAGACGAATCCCTTACGAAACACCCAGACCTTATTTCCCCAATAAGGAGAAAAAAAAAAAAGAGGATCAATAGACAGTTAGCATTTTCCCCACATATCTTCATCACCTGTCGTGTTTTTATAAGTCGTAAGAAAATAATTCCTGTCACATATTCATTGTTCATACTGGCGAATGAGAAGCACTGAAAGTCCCTTTTAAACTGTCCCCCGCACCTGGTGAAGAAGGATGAAAAGGGTGGCCCTTTTAAAAAGAAATCCTGTTCGACATTATCTAAAGAGATAAATAAATAAATAAATGTGCTAATTTTTAGTAGGCGTAACATTAGATTATTCCTTTCCCAAACGCCCTCACTCACATCCCCTCCATCAGAAAAAGAAAAAAAAGAAACGCCTACCACTATGTAATTAATAATAATAATAATAATAATAATAATAATAATAATAATAATATTAATAATAATAATAATATCCGCTTTTCTTTTCTTTTTTGTTCTTGTCAAGAGCATTTACCTCTTCTAACAGTAAAAAGAAAAAAAAAAAGATCACCAAAAGATCATTCCTAACTCTCATTACCAGGAAAAAAAATCATTTTTTCCCCTTTAGATAAATGCGTCATAGGAAAGTCAAAAATAAAAAAAAAGTTTTTTGTTTGAACCAGGAAATCACCTCCCCCAGTTTCTGAGAAGTACTCATCCGCCAACCGATTATTGTAAGGTGGAAAAAAAAACTGCAAAAAAAAACCCCTGATGCACCCAAGTGACTCAAGCACGACTTGTTTCTTTCTTTTCTCCTAGTGTTTTTCCTGGTTTGAATCAGTGGTTAGGCTTTCGTCTGCTGTTTCGCGGTTGCCCCCGAACGCATTTTGCGAGGCAGAAGCGATTCCGCCCGATCCCCACGAAGACAAACCATACACCAAGAAACGACAAAACCACCCCCGATCTTTTTTGGAAAAACCAGCCCCCGGGGGGGACTCCATGGGCCCCGCCGGCGCGCCTTGGGGAAGGGGGCGCGGGAAGGAAGTGAAAACAAGACCCAGCACCCAAACCAAACAAACCAACCTGTAACCAAAAAAAAAAAAAGAAACGGTTGTCGGGAATCCTGTCGCCTCGTTCTTCGGCCCCGCGCCCCGCCCAAAAAAAGAACGGGAGACCACCGCCCCCCAACCCGGCGCGAAAAAAGGCCGGTGAACCCGGAACGCTTGGTGGACCCTTTTATTTCCCCGGCGTGGTGCCGAAAAAAAAGGTGACCCGGGCCTTCTTGAAATTCTGCTTTTGGGCAGGGCGCCGCCGCCGGCAAGCAGCCGTGGCTTCCTTGACGTTCGGCCCCCCTTTCCCCGAAAGGAACCCTCGGCAGCGAGAGGTTGTGGTCCGCCAGTGGGCGACAATTTCCCCAACTCTAAACGTTGCGCCCTTCCCGGGCCACTGTGCGACAGGGACGGGGTTCTTTCACACCCGAACGCCTCCAAATGCCAAACATTTTTTTTTTTTTTTTTGGCCCGCACGTCGTCGTTTGAAACCCCTCCGGCAACACGAGGCGCAGCAGGTCGGGCGGCCAGTTCTGCCGAATCTCTCTTCATGGATTTTGTTCCTCCAGAAAATGGATATTGACGTTCTGTTGGGCTCAAGAAAAACCCCTATCGGAACATCGAATCCACACGAAACGATGTTGATGTAAGAAAAACGGAGCCATCCTTCTCGCGTCCCCCATCTGAGGCTCAGAATTGACCACGTTTCTTCAAAGGCATGCAAAAAAAAACTCGGCATTTCACGACAAAAGGAGCCCAATTAAGAGAAAGCAAAAGGTTCCAACTGGTAACCTTTACTTGGCCCATTTCTTCCATAACCAAAAACTCTTCTACTGAAAAGTCGTTATCCGTTTTATGCCCAACTTCGCTTTAAATGCAGATAAAAATTCAAAGAAGGCTACCCGACCGACGCGTGGAGAAAAAAAAAAAAATTCCGAAAGCCCCCGCCCAACTCAACCATTCGGCATTGCCGCAGGCGCGCTGCCTTGCCAAGATTGATGAAATGTGCCAATAAACTTACTTCTACAAAAATTACACTTCCCGAAAGGCCTCGCAACGCCAAGGGAAGGAAAAATGGCACCACGCATTTTCACAAGCCATGCGTTGGGGTAGCCGCTGGGAGGGAACTCTTGGGCAGGCAGAGCGAAAAAAAAAGGAGAAAAAGTGCTATAACTATTATTACCATTTTGGTTTATTTTGGGCCAGAATGTTTCCGGGATGGCGCGCGAGGGTGAGGGCAGAATGTTTTTTTTTTTTTTTTCCGTTTCCGCCCCACCCAATCTCAAAAACCTAATCTTCGCAATTTTCCGGCGAGCTTGGCAAAAAGAGAAACGATCTACATATTTGCCCGTTTACCTACTCATAAACCCTTAAATAATGCAACTGCTGATGTCCTAATTTTACCTTGATTCCCCGTACCCGTTTGCAGGATGGCGTGGTCAGCTGAGGGGCGCGTTCCTTCGTGTAAAACAATTGTACTTACCCACCTGTTCTATACCAAAATTTCCTTATGTGTGTGGTATAACCTTGCTTCCTGTTTGAAGATTTTTCTGCTTTTTGTACCGAGACTACCGCGACCAGCGGATGGGCAAACAACTTTCTCCGCAAAGAGGATCACTTGTGGTGACGGACGTTGCCGACATCTACCTTTAGAGAGGAACACATGGCGAAAGCAAATGCCATGGCCCGGGGTATTTGACGGCACTGGCATGGAGATAAAGATTCTCGTTCGTGTATAACTTTACAACCTTTAACTAAGCCCACCGTGGGCGCATGAACGAGGAAATTGCAGTGGTTTTTTTTTTCTGCCAGGGCGGGGTCCCGGGGATGAAATTACAGTATCCGCCAACACCTAGGAACGCAGCGCATATGGGGAGGGCGGCCGCGCACACGATGCCGATTTATTTGGTCATCCTCATATTTGAAGGAAAAAAAGTTTTCTGTTTGTCGTGCATCGCGAAAATTCGTCCGGCGCAGATTAACAATCTGAAAAAAGGGTAAATTCTGAAGATTGGGGGAGGGGGCTTTGATACTGTATTGGGCGGCGGCTCTTAATACGGAAAAAACGGATCCCCGTTGGGCATCAGCGATGCATTTGGTATTGTCACCATTGTCGTTTATTTTCAGGCACAAGAAGCATCCCACCAACCTTGTGGCCAGCAAAGTGGAATGTATTTTGAATTCTTACAGAGAAACAACCCATTCAATCAAGAGAGGTACGTTGCGGTACGGGGTTGAGTCGGTCGACATTCACACTAAAGAATCCTCATGTGATTCCCCAATTCACAAGGCATAAGGGCCAATTCTATCTCCCTCATAATGCAGTGCCGCATCTTGACCACCACACATCCTTTCTTTCGAAGATTTCATCGGCGATGACATTGACGCAACAAATTATCCCTACCGGTTTGTGGGGCGATAGAACCCCCCGCATAAAGGGAAAAAGGACCCAGGGAAGATAGCAAAATAGCCCGATAACAACGGAAAATGTGTCTGACGTCGCCGAGAGAAGAAATCACAATCGTTTTACATCAAGTATATGTTGCGGTGCCTGATATCAGATCGATTCTCTTTTGGTTAGATGAATACGTTTTTTCTTAGTTTTTCACACGTTTGATGCTTCCAGAGGCGCCCAAGATAAAAAATTACAGACCCATTCCCAACCAAAATGATTTTTTTTATTTTTTGCAAGAGATCTGGATAAAAACGAACGTTTCGGTCTTAGACAGAAGTTCATCTGTGCTATTTTTTTTTCCGTATTCGAAGAGAAACTCATTTAAAAATTCCAACCGTTAGATGGCACATCCTTAGAAATTAATAAGGCAGGGCCCTTGCCAAGCAGAAGCGCTATAGGGTAATATTTTATGTTATTTAACGATGGCGTTGGGTGGGTCTGCGTCTTGGTCGGATATGGAGCCCCTTCGTTTTCTAAGCAACATCGCCTCCTAGCACCAAGTGTCTCATTTGGCGCAGGGGTTGTCGATAATTCTACTGCAGAATCGCCACGATTGCAAAAAAAAAAAAGAAGCAGAGTGTGAGTTAAGCAATCCTTCAGAGCCGCAACCTCGGCATTTGTGGAAGGAGTTTCGGGGCGTGAAGTCTAAGAGGAGAACTTCAAAAAAAGAAAAAAAGCGTTCTTAGAACCGTTTGGAGATAAGAAAGATACCATTTCTCGCGAGCACCGGGCGGAACCCAGCCGAAAGATACCAAGACCCATCCCAAGAACAAGTGCGGCGACGTATCGGACACGTTTTGCGTGACGACTATAAAATGGCTTTGCCGAAGAAGAAGCGCAACCCAAAATTGCAGGATACACACGTTCATTGGAGTATGCGCGGTTTCAGATATGGCGGCAGCACGCCACCTTTTTAAGCGCCACAACAGCCCTTTTGGTTCTCCCTGGGGCGCTCTTTTTCTCCAAAGAAGGTTTGCGTTCGGTTTGCCTTTTTTAAAGCAAGTTAATCTCACCCTCCCTTTTTTTTTCCGGTTCTCTCGATCCCGCTGCCTTCTCTGTGGTTGGGAGGCTTGTTGTTGCACCGATTTCTCCCGAACAAGAAGGCGCCCCCAGTGCTGGCGGAGGGCCTTTCATCAAAGCTGGGCGGGGCGGAGGCTCTTTTTCATAGAAACTCTAGGCGCAAAAGTTGCCTGAGGCCGCAAGGGAACCCCACCCCATCCCCATCGCGAGTGGGGGAAGAACGGCCTGGCTCTAGAGTTTCGGTTTTTTTCAATTTTTTCTCCCCCGGCCCGCCATAGTAATATGAGGAAGTGGGCTGTTTCAAAGACCAGCAAAGGACGCCAGCGAAACGCCACGTGATTTCCCTTCTGGGTTGGATGGGGCATTCCAAACTTTCACACCTCACGCACTGAATTTTTTTTTTCTTATTCGCGCCGCGTGGGAAATATGGCAGCCCATTTATCGAGTAGAAAGGGATGTTGGCGAATGGTTTGGTGAAGGGGGTTAACTTGCGAAGGGGTCCCGGGGACTATTTCGAGCAAGAGATTTTAGCATTTCCCATTTAGCAAACCTTGCCAGACGATCCTTCAGAGAATATATAAAGCAGGAGTTACTTGCCCGTTAGAATCTTAGAAATGTTACATATTTTCAATGAGAACTTGTGTCGTCTGTTTATTTTTTATGCTCAGATTGCCGCCACACCCGTTAATTTAAAGATAAGATTTTGCCCAAGCAAGGAACCATACTCGCTGCATTCTTCTTCCGGCACAAAGGCGCGCTGGCTTAACCTGCCAAAGCCGGAACCCAAAGAACAGAACCCGCTTTGATAAGGCACTTCTGCTTCCCACCGTCTTCCCGAGCAACCCATCTTCCAGCTAAGGGAGTACCCGCGTAAATAAAATTCATTCCGAAGCAATCGCCAGCTGGGGTTCTTTTATTCGCGGTTCGGGGGCGAAGGCGTCGCCCCATGGGGGAAAAAAAAAACACGCTAAGATGAAATGGAAGGAAGGAAAACAACACAATAGGAGCAGGGGTCGGGGGTTTGCCTGCCGTTTTTTTTTTTTTTTTCTTTCGTTGGGTGGGGTTTGCTCCGTGCTCTTTTCGCCACGGCCAGCGCCCTTTCCCAGACGCCGAAAACAGACCCCCATGAAGAAAAAAAAAACAGCGTTTCGACCAAAACGAAGTGCTGCTTTAATTTAAAATATTTTCGAACCCTTTCGTTTCTGGTTGGGTTTCCATTTGTTGGTTTTGCGGTTGCGTTGTTTGTGTTGGCCGTTGCGCGGTCAGGCTTCCAGGCAGTTCTGTTCCTAGAAAAAAAAGCATAAATAAATTTAAGCATAGTTGACGCCCCAAATTCGATGATCATCCTCTGAAATAAAATTTGCTTTGATATAATTTAAGCACCATTGTCATACCGTGACAACCCGGCTGCTGTTTTCGCGATACCTCTGCCGAAATCCGTGAACTCGGCTAACTTGATAGAGGCCTCTTGCCGGCGAGGTGGCTTCTAGTAAAAATTTGAAAGTGGGAAGGGCAAAGTGTCCAATAGGTTTCTTTTAAAGTTCCCATGGGGTCTGTCTTGTTCTGCAAAAAAGTAGTCTTTCGGAAGTTTCCCTACTTTTAAGCTTTCTTTGTATTTGCTTCCACAGAAGAAAATAATAAATAAAGCGATCTTTTTTATTTTACTCCGACCCAAAACCCCTGAAGACGAAACTCAATTGGAAATATCATCCGCACACCAACGTTACAATATATAAGAATAGAAAGAGTAATTGCCATTCAAGAAAAATCAATGATGGGGATCTCTATTTTATGCTTTAGCTTTTTCAGAGTATGTTAAAGCAGATATTTTATTTGCGAAGAATTCATCAGAGCAGCAGCTTCGGGGAATATACGAATGATGCCAGACTTCCAATCGCTCTGTTTCAGCAATGTTCTCCCTACCCCACCTCACCAGCAATGCCACCTATAAAGAAGACACAGGGACACAGGCAAAAGAGGAAGAAAACATACTCACAAAAGAAAAAAAAAAAAAAGATACCACAGTAAAGAATACAAAAGGGCACTACAAATCCAGCCTAATAATAAGATCCGCCTCCGCCTTTTCGTTGGCCGGCGTGGCTGTCTGTATTTCCTTGCAGGGTTTTCTCTTTCAAATGGCCAGAAAAAGTATTCTGATTTATAAGTCTTGGTTTACCTTAATCAAGTTTTCATTGCGTTCTTTTTTATGTTACAACTCACGTTCGCAAAGGAATTACGAAAGGACAACCTGAAGCCTAGCCATCAATTGGGATCAGAAAAAAAGAGGAGAAGAAAAAAAAAAAGCTATGCCTTCCCTTTTGATGACAGAATAAGGGGAATAGTAAAAAGTATTTTTTTTTTTCTTTTTTCTCCGTTGCTTTGCCACTGCTAAAAAATGAAGCGCATAGGAAGTTCCTTCTTCAATCAGTGATTGGGCCACCCTCTCCTGACTTTGCCGAGTCGTGACGATGGTGGCGCTGATGCTTTTCCGAGCCTTTTTCCTTTGACAACTTTCGAAAAGAGTGTTCGATACTTACGCTATCCTTTGCAACGAGGGCTACCTTATTGTGGTGTCAAGGCTGAGTACTTTAATTTATTAAAGGAAACTAGCACCACTCACTAAATTTTTAAATGAGGTTGTTACCTTAAAAAACAAATCTTTTAATTTTCTTTTAACAACCGCGTTCTTAGCAATGCTATCCCCTCGTTGGCGTTTGGCCAACGAAAGGTAGGGCCAAAGTCCATTACCTTGTATATTTTTTGCAGGGAAAGCCATGGGCCAGCAAATTCTCTTCTTGAGAGTTTATGGGTTTGCAAACTGCAAACGTCATACAGCACCAGGGCCAGCAGAGTCGTGCTGGGACAAAACTCCAACCAAGAAGGCCCTGGATTGCGTGCCGGCGTGCCATTGGCATAACTTTCGTTTACATATTGCGCTTTAGTGTGAATGATGCTAAAAAGGAAGTGGCGGGGACCCTAGAGATAGTAACAACTATGCCGTCCAGTGGTGGAAATAAGATTCTCCCCTAAAACGACTCAGAGAGGCAAAAAAAAATCCATGCCCCGCCACCTACGAGATCCACTACAATTTCATTACCAACGCGTAATTTTTCTGCGCAGCGGTAACAAAATACAATGAAAAACAAAATAAAAATAAAAATAAAAAAATATACTCAAATAAATAAATAATCCCCAAAAAAAAAATAATTATAGCAATAATAATATTAATAATAAT